GAGCATCCATCAGATTTTATCTGTCGGCCAGTCTAGGGATACCCTCTCTCTCTCTCTCTCTCCTGAACGCGCAATCTCGCTTATAGATCGCAGCGGGAAACCAGTCGACCATGTTTGATGAAATGATTTAATCAAAGGTAAACGCGGGCACGGAAAAATTCCGTCCTGGAGGATCGACGAAAACCGGGGAGAACCGCGACGCCATATTTCGCTCGCTATCTACGCTCGCCGAGTATTTGCTCTGGCAAATGTATATACACGCGAGGCGCGTTTTATCGAGCGGATATCGAGCGGAGCAGCGATGAACGCGTTGGGTAAACGAGATCGTTGGTGAAGCGATCTTTCTTGGTTTCCAGGTGGTGGAAAAATTTTCTGGTCGAGAGATCCTTCGATCTAGATCGATTCGCAACGCGCTTCCGAACGAGGGAAAGTCTGTCTTAACCAAACTTGGCAGACTTGGCTCTTTCGAGCTTCGATACGGAGCTTCGATCGCGAGGAATGGGAGCGAGATCGGCAGCGCATAAATGAAATTATTACGCTGCAAAATTTAATTGTTCGTAATTAAAGTTTAAACGATCGGGCGATAAAGCACGCCGAATTTTATACGAATCGGATAATAATCGGCGTGTGCACGGCGAGGAGTCGGGAGCGGGAAACAGAGTGCGTCCCGGTATTATATGCAGCCTTCAACCGGCGATAATTCAGCAAACGCTGCCGCGCAGAGACCTAACAGCGATTCCGGTCGGACATAACTTCCGCGAGCCGCTATCGCGGAACTCCACACCTCTACTTTATTAAGTGTACACACACACCGTGGCTCACAGGCCGAAGAGATACTCGATACGCGATGATACCGTGCTCGAGAACGGGTACAGAGACGTTCGTGAAATAATGCATCGCCGATCCACCGACTCGTTCTGCAACGGGATTAAGAGCAGATTGAAAGTACGAGTAATCGTAGAAGCTCGATTGCTTGTCTGGATAATTAAGGAATTATTCGTTGCTTCTGGTGATATCGAACGGTGTTTCTTTAAGTTAATTCCTTGCCAGCAAGAATAACGATATTCCGTATTTACCTCGAGCGAGATGGCTCGTCTCGTATTTCTAGAGGTCCATTTTGAAGAATAAGGAGATAATAATGGTATATAAAATGTACGACGCGAGATATAACTTTTAAAAAAGTAAAAGTTATAAAGGAAAGTATTTCTTTGTAGATTTTGTTTCGTTACTTGGAAATTTTTGTAACGTAATTTAGAGGTTAAGTGGTAGGTATAGGATTCTTTTGGTTATCAAGGAGTACCGCATATTTTCATGGCTCGTGGCCAACGAAGCAACCTCATCGCTCCATATCACACGATAACTCGATTAACCGCGATAACCGAGTATTTATTATCCCCCGAGATTTCATTTTGATTACCTTCTGGCTCCCTCTCTCTCGCTGCGCCTCAGCAGCGCCCTCGTGCAACGATGCGTTTCTCCGACCGGAAGTTGCACGTCCAGGAATACACGCTTGAATTTGCGGCGAGATACCGGGCCGGATTGAAATATTGAGCCGTTCCTAACGCCGCATTTCCATGAAATTCCTCTACCTCGTACCCTTTATTCCGCGAAGACGATTCTACCGCAAATTTTCAAGTGTACGTACCGACGAATAATCCGCCGTAAAAATCCTCGCGACCAAGTTTCTCTCTTTAAGGAAACCACGATTTATATTCCTCCATCACACTTTCACTCTGTTTTTCGTTTCTCGCTTTACACGTTTTCTCCGATGTTCCGTTTGACACCACGCGAAATACGAGCGAATAAAAACTTCGCAAAAAGAGTTCGCGAAGCTGCAACGCCATCTACGCGCGGGACGCCTGGGACGGAACCGACGAGTGGTAAAAGGAATTGCAGCGAATCGGTAGAATCGAGTAACGCGTTTGACCGTCGGGCGCGTTGCAGTCGCAATCGGTGCTCCAATTAATGTTCAGTAGTCGGTTTGGCAGTGTGATAAAGCTACGCCAAACCGTGGACGAGGATGCGATATTTCGCGTCACGATTCTTCTTCGCGATGCATTAAGCCGAGCGCGAGTAAAAACGGTTCCGCCGACGATTTATTTATCACGGTCGCCCCCTTTTATTGAAATTAAAAGCGATTCGAAAGGAGCGTAGGGGAGTGGCGGTGGCAGCAGTGAATCGATCGAGATATACGTACGTATCGAATTACGAGCGGATTATCGTCGTGCGGAGGGATCAACGCGTTGCCGTGGCGCACGATAATTATTTCTGCGTTAGCCATAATTATTGCCGGGGTGGCAATTAATTCCTGCCCGAGCGGCAATTAATTTATTGCGGCTTGATTAATTGCCGCATGCTCACCGCCGAGAGACAGTTCGTTACTGTGCTGCTGGATCGCCCTTTTGCCGCGCTTCGAAATCGACCGCCACCGTCAACCTTTTCTCGGATCAATTCTTCGTGGTATCTGGTCTGAATGATTCTTCGTTGGAATACCGAACTATTACAGAGTTGAAACGAAAATAGTGGAAAGTTTGCTCAGGCAAGTGTGAAATACGAGACGTGAAACGCATCTCGACGCTTTGGTCGAAATTTGAGGTTATTTGCTTTCTCTTTCTTACTTAAACATCTATGTATACACCTTGTTATTTACGTCCAATGCATATTAACTGTTTGCAGGTGAGAAATAAGGACAAGAACGAAGAGAGTGTTTAATAAATCATGGGAAATGATGAACTGAAGAAAATTCTTGAAATAAAATAATTTTAACGACAGTGATGTAGATAGTAAAAGTTTTCGATGTAGCAAATGTGATAATAAATGAGGTTAGGAAATGAAAATGTCATCCCTCGTATATTTCGAGATTCTTTCTACAAAAGATCAACGTGTATTCGTTCGTAAATTAAAATAGACCACCGAGATAGGTTATAGATATGCCGATACGTCGTGAAAGGGCCATTTTATTAATTGTCTCGATCCTCGAGCTATTCGGAAAGTTTTTTCCTGTCGAAGAAAAATGCAGGCATCGATAATGCGCGACCCTCGACGAGAGGAACGGTCTATCGTATTTTTCGTGCGTTATCGAGGGAGGATCGAGCGACAAATGGCGGTCTAGGGCCATTTTGCGGATGAGATATTGCGTAGATTTTCACTTTTCACCGTGGACCGGCCATTTGCGGCGATCTTTGAGCACGCTGGAAGGAACGACGTCGGGTCATCACGATGAAGGATATGCTGTTTGGAAAACACGATTCGTTCCGTGCCGTGGCCATTGTGGTCCAGGACAACGTCGAATTTTTCAAAATCGACCAGGTAGAGCCCCCCTTTCGTCACGCTGGTTTTTCCTTCCAATGGTAATGGAACTGCTTCTAGAAACGTGGTCGTATAAAATCGTCAGGATCCATTCTTCCTAGCCGATCCTTTACGGATACGTGAATTTTCCGATTCACTGCCACAGTCAACAATGGGATACCTTCGACCTTCGATTCCTCAAAATGCCATTTTCGTCCTGAAAATTCGACCGTCCATAATAATTCGAAAACACTCCGAGTAGACTCTTACAATTCGAAAAAATTTATTCGAAGGAACAAGAGGTACTTCTTCTACTGTTTATTGGAAACCTTGATACACTCGAGCTTAATTATAAATATTATGGATCGTACAATGCTATATTTACAAGTAATTCGATCGAGCAGGTGGATCCTGTTGCTAATTGTCGATTGGAAACGGGGGAGGGGTGAGGGAAATATATCTGGAAACGAGAACGTAGAAAATAGTTTGGGAACGACCAGGAGGGGAAATTAATATTTCACATGTTGACGAAAGTAGTTTTCGCGCGAGGATGCTTCCGCGAAATCCCGGAATAAATATCAAGTCGAGAACTGAGCTACGTTTCTTTGGCTCCCCCGATACACGCGCGGGGGGGATCTCGTAAAATATTATTTAATCCTCACTGGCCGTACATGCTCGTGGCAATTCTGTGATGTTTCCTGCCTCTCGAGAATTTAATAGAAAAAAATAGAAAAAAAAAAAAAAAAAAAAAAAAAAAAAAAAAAAAAAAAAAAAAATTAAAAATAAAAGAGAACGGAGAATAGCATGGAAAAATAAGGGGAAATCCAGACACACTTGGACGCTGCGTATATATCATTATGCATATAAGTATAAACCTAGATATTGTAGCTGTTTATTGCATAGCGATGTTTATATCATACGATAATGCATTATTCGCGAACATTCAGAAACTTCAATTACAAAACGTGTCGGTATATTCGGTCTCTATTGTTCCCTAGAGGAACAGCTGGTAACGATTCGAAATAGGTATCTCCTATGAATTTGAGATTCAAAGTTCGAAAGAGCGTTGGTTTTTCAACTCTTTAGGTTAGGTCGATCTGTGAATAGAGTATGATCGATTATTTATTCAGCTGCAGCTCGAGACCCCGATAATTTGTGGGTTCCTGAATATGGCGAGTAATGTTATTAGACATACTTAAAGTACTGAATCTCATCAACGGCATTAGACGCCTGTAAATCTAATTCGTTTTGATCTCGTGCAATACGTTCGCGCGAATGAGAAAATATCCGTTAATATTCTATTCAAATCTTTTTCTCGATCGCGCGTTCGATACAGAGACCGTGGCAAAATCCTCGACTTCTATGTTCACCTTTGATCATTGTTATCGACGGGCGGCAACTCACTTGTACGCACGATAAACGAAGTTGCAAATGCAGCAAGAAATAAATGGAACAAACAAGAGCGTTTATTGGAAAGAAAGCGCGAGTTCAATCGTTAACGATCTACCGGACTACGATTCATCGACGGTTAATTAGCTATTCAGCAAAAAGTAAAAAACTACGCCTAATCGTAATTATCACAATATTTCTCAACCTTTCTAATCCAATTTTCTAGCTATTCCTCTAAGTACCTTTCGCATTAAATACGTAATTTTTAAGTACACTTGTATTATTTGTGAACTTAGTCTTTTGTTTTTATCGACCGTCGACTGAAAATACCGATTTTATCGACTAAGCATATTCCTGGCTAGATATCCATCCACCGATCACATTGCTCTCTGCAAACGCGGTGATCGTTCTCGCATTACCAACAGAGGATATTTCTTCGGTGATTCCATCGATATACCTATATCGACGGAAGCGCCTCGAAGAAGAAGAGAAAAGAGGAAACTCGCTTGTACGTTCAAAGAGGTCGCGTTTAGTTAATTCTACCCTTGTGAGTCATGTAACTTATGCTGTCAGAGAGTAACTTTTCCCTAGCCTGTCGTCGGAGTCGCGAACACATTGCCAATATCGTCCCTGCCATTATGCAAAGGAAACCGCACCCAATTCCTATTATCGTACTGAGGACCGTCGATCTAAGGCACACTCTATCACTCGTTGGTTCACTGAGCCCTGTAAAATCAACCAAATTTGAGATTAATACGAATATTAATTGTTTCAAACGTTTAAAAAATTAATTTGAACGTTAAAAGTACCGCTTCGGAATGCCGTAGTAGAATTCTGGAAGAATTCCGTGTCCGCCTCGCCTTCCTGAAGCACGCGTAACGATTGGAAAAGATTGACGTTCTCTGACAAACTCGTCGCCGGTGTCGACGGGCCTCCAATTTCTGGCAAAGAACGCTTAGCCACGTTCTTGGCATTTCTCCAATGACACGGTTGGCTCTGTGTGATTATGATTAATTGCATAGCAACAGGTATTCGAGCTCGAGTAAAGGGAATAAACTCGTCTGAACATGATTCTAGACTGTTAGTGCATCGTTTCAATCCCTCTTTACTTACCGGACATCTCCCGTGGCACATTCTTACATCGCACTCGATATACAACGCCGGCGAGCCAGTAAACCTGAACGTTTTCATGTAGGCAAAAACTTGCGTCTCAAAGAGACCACTCTCCGACCAGGATCCACGGAATCTGCTGATCAGTTTATCATCGACAGGGCAGCCATACTGATCGATCAGTTGAATTCTCTTATTTCCTCCATTGTGTGCATAACAGTCGTTCACGACGATATCAAAACCGTCTGTGGACAGAAAAACATTCGTCATTTTCATTCTATTCAAACATTCAATTTAATACAATCTTATCATCCGAATTTGTTATACTAGGTTTTCAGAATTTTTCTATCGCATAATAACGTGTTAGAGACTCTTAACACTAATTTTAGATTCACGAAGGGAAAAGCGGCGATGCAGATAACCGGAGCTCTACGCTTCCCGTTATCCCGTCGAATAACACCCGGCAGATGTTACGTAGCGCCACGCGATTAGGCCTCCGGCCTTACTGGATGGAGGTAAAAGCAGCGTAAAGCGAAAATGCGTGCCGCTATAGCCGGCATACCGTATTTGCTGCGCATGTAGATAATGAGAGTCAGGGGATCGCCGACGCGAACTGGTCCAGCCACTCTAGTTCCAGTGGTCCCGTAACCGTATCTGATTTCCATGTAGCACTCCGGTGGCTGCAGGGTGAACACTACGGGATTCCCCGTCGCGACTCTGGAAGAAGATATCCCGTGTTAGAGGCTTCCGTCGACACCAACCTCCCGTTACCCGTCAGTGGGACAACGTACGAGGTGGAGAAAAATACGCGATAGGTCCGGGTAATAATCCGGAATTTCCACGACGATGACAAATCGATGATAATAGCCGGTACGATTGAACATTTCGGGATACTTACTCGACGTCGAGGAATGGGAAGGTGACGGTTTTCCAGAAGTCGTATCCGTATTCGCAAGTCACTTTGAAGTGTTCATCGAACTCCTCCTCGATTAGCGGATTATACTGCACCGTGACCGTGTTCCACATCAGGTTTTTCTGAAACGAGAAGAAATCGAGCGTCATTAATCGAGGGATAAAAAGCGAGGGCATCGCTTGCTCGAAATATTCGGTGATCGATAAATAGGTTAGGACGGTCGATACCAAAACAGACCACCGTTGTTCGTAACATCGTCTTCGTCTTATCTTTTCTCCTCTTCCTCTTTGACATCCCTCTAATCACGAGTCACGAGCAAATGGACACGGTTTTAGTGCGCCGATATAAATCACCGTGTGTTCGCGTGCGTTTAATAAATCACTGCACGAACGTAACAGAATTATTAGCATCGGCATAGCTTTATGATCCGCGGTCGCTAGAGGTCTCTAACGGCGCAGTCTGCGTATATGTATATTAATACATCGAGTGGCGGGACACCGACGATCGTTAAACGTCCACTGGACGACGTTGGACGATTGCCGGTATAAAGGTTGAAACGAGCTGGGTCGATTCTTTTTTCACATGGACGTTAATCATTATTATTCCTTGTCAAAAGGATGCAAGTGGTCACGCTGCGTTCGTAACGAACCACACCGGTCTTATCTCCTGTGAGCTCTGTTACACGCTCGTTTTACGTACCGTAGGATTCTTTCGGCTGTCCTGATGATGAGTGTTCTCGCCGAGGGTGCCGCAGCGATTCAGTTGAATGTAGAACTCGTAGTAGTCACGGCCTGTCCCGTTCACGTACATGCAGTCCGGATCGTAGGAGTAACCTTTAATCGAAATCGATCGTTTTATATCAGCCATTCGCGACCCTTCGATTTCTTCGAGCGCGTTCGCGAGTATGTAGGTTTTAGGTTATGTTTGATAGGATAATCTCGGTATTTTGAAATTCAATAAGTGGACTAAACACTGACTAAATTATTGTTTCTCTATAAAAAAAAGGAACGATGGTTAATCTTCTAATCATAAAAATCTCGAATTATGCAATCTCATTGTTACTTCTAGTGTTAACGAGTATAAGGATCGTGTGTTCTCTCCAAATTTGCAGACGCAGGAACGAATAGTCTGACAGCAAAAGGCGGTCAACAAGGGCGACTATTTGCAGGTGCATCGCGTGTATCGTGCAAGGAACAAGCAACGCGTTATGCTTCTTTCAAAATAACGGAAGTGCATGGCTCGACCATGTTGGCTTGGCGGACTCGCCTTGGAAAAAGGAAAATTCTCTCTCTCTCTCTCTCTCTCATTTCCCCAGTGGCGAGCCCCTGGAGATCGTTTCACGATAATGTTCTGCCATTAGCTCGTCAGCATCGTAGCAGTTCGAGCGTTGTGTCCGCGGAGATGATGATTGCGAGCGGCAGAGCCGTGAGGTCGTACCTCGCGAACGTGATAGCACGTCCTTTCATGCGGATGCTCGGCAGCACGTCCGCGATTCCCGTCGTGATGTTAATTTCCGAAGGGCTACTTACCCGCCGAGTAGAGCAGTCCGGTGAAGGAACCGTTGAAACCAATCCTGATCTTCATGTAATCGTCCTGGCACTCCGCCTCGATATCTGCAAATTTTTATTTTCTCTCGTTATTAATGAACACTCTTCGATCACCTTGTAATTTCATATGACTTGAAGTTAATTACGATTTTACAATTAATAAAGTTAAGAATATAAGAATATAAAGTGCTATTTACTTGAAGTATTAAGTCATTTTCGCTTACTATACCAAAGTGGTAATAATCTAAACCTTCGCATTTGATAATGAAACAGAAAAGTAGATAATAGAATTTTTGGTGAAAGTATATAATTATTACCGATTGAGTAAAAATTTTTAAAAAGAATATTGCGTAATAATTATATAATAACACATTCCGTTCTTTGATTGGAGAATGCACACACCAATCAACGTGCAGATCAACTCCCAATCACGGTGATCAGAAAATCATCTGGAGAAGTCGCCAAACTCTCCTCCCACTCCAAGCATCTCTTCATTCCTAAAACCATCAAACTTGGCGGAGCAAAGATGGCCACCATTCGCAAAACGAACGACTCGTCAATGTCTGCAGGTTTTTATGATCAGAAACGTCGATAAAGAGGATCTCGACAAGGCAACGAACCTTAGAACGGACCGCGGAGCTGGCACAATGCCGAAACGGTTTTAGTAGAGTGTCGAAACGGTCGGAAAATCGGGGGCCATCCGGTGGGCGGAAAGCAGCGGAAAACCGGTCGTCGATGACGAGTGAAAGTGAACCAGCGAGCCCCCTTATAGGCGCTCTTCGTGGTAAGGGGCCGTTTCCATCGTAAAACGACGTAATCCAGCGGGAGTGTGGAAGATGGACGGCGCTAGATGGAGGCTGCCGATAGTCACACTCGAGGTGCGTCTCGATGATACAACGTTTCGCCGGTAGAACGTTTCCCGCGTTCTCTCGCTCCTTCTTTCATTCTTTCGCTCTTTCCAGCTCTGGCGGGCACGCGTGCTACACGCGTTGCACGCGTTTTCGACCGGTATGTACGCACGTTTATTTAGAATTCCGGATACGTGCTTTGTGTTCATCGGCCGGCAAAACGTCGAGGAGTAAACAATGGAGGCGGTTGCGTAACGCCGATGATACCCGCGATCGAGTACGCGAGGACGTGGAGGAGCATCTTTGCTCCGCGACGAGCGTTCCCTGCTCGCCATTTCGTTGATCGCGATACGTTTGACAGTGTACTTCGAGTTTAGATGATCTCTGTTCGCTTGGCGATAGTAATTCCATTCAGGAACAGCAGTAGCGTAAGAAGCATTCATTTGTTGGTTATCTTGTCAGATGAATTGATTACACTGTCCAACAAATTTTAAGTTTCTCTTTAATATGTAATATCCATTAAGCGATTCTTGTACAGTTTACTTTCCTGTACACGAATCCGTAATCGAAATTGCTGTATCGCCCTCAGTTTCATAGAAATTGTGATTTTTTTCTAAAAACACAGAACTTTGAATAAATTATAATATTAAATAGTTGTAATATATAAAAGTAAATATGTTAGGAGGTTCAGTTTTGCCTTACGAGTCAAGTGAAAGTATCCCGAGTTTATCAATGTCTATTATTATAATTGTTCGTGCTTCTGAATAAATATAATTGGTCATTAAAGTTTAAAAATAAGTCTCCCTCCGTACTTCCCAATGCATATTATCGTATTTATACAAAAAGTTTTTCATCTGATAGGTATTTACTACAAGGTGATGTATTCTGTACACTTTTCCGAAGAAGAAGCTATCCGGAAACAGTATTAGGGTGATTTTGAATGTTGATAGGACGGTAAAATATATATCGGCAACGCGTAAGCGGGATTTTGCCACCACGTCGCCATTGTTCGTACGACTGGCTCCATCTGACAATGAGCCGTAGTCAGGCGTAATCGACACCAAAGTCATCGTTCAGGAGATATCATTTTTCATACGTATAACATGTATATATTGTCATGTACTTTTTTATGTACAATTTTAGCCAATAATACGAGGGAAATAAAAATATTTTTACATACATACACGTATCATGGAAATTTATCCCATAGAAGTGCGAATACAGTCATAGTTTATAACAAATGTATAAGTTATGAAATTTATTATTAATAACAGATTAATATCATTAACAACAAATTGTTCTCAACCTAAATTTATAATAAAAGTGAAAAAATTAATAAATTATTGTCTATTACTTGGACGAATATCGTACTTATGTTAAAACGTACCGATACATTGCAAAAAGTTAATAAATTATTACACTGATTGTTTATAACAAATTAATATTGTTATTAACAAATTGCTCGCAACGTATATTTACGATAAAAGTGAAAAAATTAATAAATTATTGGCTATTAAAGCGGAAAAATAATAAATAATGGAATTGGTAAAGTTCGAAAATTTTTGATAAGAGTGGGAGGACTCGGCCAATCGACAGCTATATAAGGAGCGACGCGACGCAGTATAAGTCATTTGTCGGTTCGACTTCGGAAGTGTAACATCTAAATTTTCGTTGTGCGCGAGGGGTGGGGATTCGAAGTGAGGTTGGGGTTGGCCCCCCACTCTCACCCCCACCCATTAATCAATTTACTAATAATTTTTTTTATTTTCAGCTATTAATTATTTTTTTCTTTCAGATTTTAATTACTTTTTATTTTTTCAGGTATTAATTATTTTTTTTTTATTACAGATATTATTTTTCGTTTATATTTAATTATATTTGGACATTCGAATATTTCGTATAATATTCGAATGTTTC